GATGGGGTACCATGCTCTGGCCCCAGAGTCTGTCCTTTGTACTCCCCTGGTAAGCTTTTAAGATCTTCTTTATTTTAACTCTAAAGTTTCATATTCCCATTAGCCAGATTCTTGAAACATTACATTTCATCTATTAAATATATCCATTGTCTATCCCTATGCTGTCAGTTCAGGTATTGGCATCACACTGCTGAATTTTAGAACTGTCCGAGTTTCCTCCATTTTCTACCTCTCCATCACAAAAAAAAAGAACATAAAGCCCATTTGGTTGAGATCAGGCTACCATGAATGATACTTTGTTGTCACAAATAAATGTTGCAGAGTTAGAATAAATAAGGCGTGTTCTTCTCGACAGTGTTCTTCAAATGAATAACATTACATTTGAACTTGTGGTCATCACTTTGAAGAACAGTGGTCTTTCATCACCCTATTTTCAGTTATGGGTAAATGACTCAATCCAGATTGAAAAGGTCTTCTAGCTGAGCTCTGCCCACAGACTTTGTAGAAGTGAAATACCAAGAAGGGCAGAGGAACACCCGTTTGGATGAGAAACTTAAAGCGTTTCTGAAAGTGAATCGTCCCTGTAGCTAACTGGCCACATTCTCAGAACCCAAAACTTGGATGAGCTACCATGGCCACGCCCGGGAAAACCTTTTCCAATTGAAGCGTGGCTTTTGTTGTGAGCTGTAGATCCCACGCTGACCCTCGGCAACCAGAAGCAGCAGGGTTGAGCTGTCCCAACCTGTGGCTTCTCAGCCGAATGCTTCACCATTGCATTACCAAGGCTCCTTATAATTCATGATTGATGATTTCCAAGCTGAAAGCCAGAGAAAGCATGGGAAATCCCACCCAGGAAGCCCACAGACTCACAACTTGAATGGTGTAGTCACACTCACTGAATACCACCTCTAGAAATGGTGGCGTTAGTGGGTTTATTTTGTACTTTCACCACAAGTTTTAAAGAACTAGCAAGGCAATGAACTGACACAAAAGTTCTTCCTGCACATGAACATCAGGCCTAGGTTGATCCACATGGGGAGGCACACTACCGCCCACGATGCTGTTACATACAGAGATTTTGTCTGAAATCAAATCAAATCCTTGACTTTATATGATTATGCCAGTACATTTGGTATTTCTTTTTAGTATTTAGTAGCTTCCTATCACTTGCTCAAAATAAAGAATGTTTACTGAGGTCCCTGAAGAAACATAACCAACAAAATTTAAGAAAAAGAAAATAACTCTTGATAGGTACTGAGGTACTTGTCTGATGTTCTGTGCTTTTCTCTTAAGTTTGAAATTGTTCTTAATTTTAAATGCAGCTGGCCTAACAAATATTTAGATTGTTATAGTGCAATTGCAAAGTTATAGGAGATCACAAAGAGACATACAGAGACTTAAAAGTTAAAGATCTCAGAGAATTTTCTTCAGCAATAGAAAGTGGTTTCTCCTTTGTCTCCATGGAACAGGAGAAATTCCCATTCTGCTTTGCATTTTAGAGTCTGGGCTTTTTGGAAAATCAGTTCTTTGACGTTATTGAGAGCTCATCCATGACACTGAGTCAGGAATTCTGGTTGCTAATCCCACTTCTGCCACCAGCTGCTCCTTTAGCAAGTGGTTCACTCTCACCCTAACTATCCTCAGAAAGGAAAAAAGATGGGATTTAAATAACTGGTAAGATTATGGTATGGCTGAGCACCTGTTTTCTCCATTTCCTATTTCCTGACTTACCAACTTAGAATGCAGTCCTACTAATGCTCGTGTGTTCTTCCTTTAGGCTGTGAAGTTTGAACCATACCATGACAGCGCCCTTGCCAGATTTCTGCTGAAGCATGGTTTAAGAGTAAGTACTTGCGTTTTGATAATAGCATGACATTTCAAAGAATAGCAGTAATACACCGGTAGACGGAGAGCATCCGTCATCATAACTCAACCTTCTTGTTCCCACTTCAGAACAAAAGAATTGGCCACTTCTTGTTTTGGTTCTTGAGAAGTGAGATAGCTCAATCCAGGCACTACCAGCAGAGATTCGCTGTGATCCTGGAAGCATATCTGAGGGGCTGTGGCACCGCCATGTTGCAGGACTTTACACAACAAGTGCAAGTCATCGAGATGTTACAGAAAGTCACCATTGATATTAAGTCACTCTCTGCTGAAAAGTATGATGTCAGTTCCCAAGGTACAGTTCCTGCCTTTCGTTGGTTCTCTTTCCACGTGCTTGC